CAAGCTCATTTCCATAATAAATGTATGGCGATGAAGACTAGGATCAGCATCATAACAGAACGGAGACATTCACTGGATAACTGAGGCTGTTCTCACCACGTTTCCCCTCAATGATATCACCTAGAACTGAGCACCACTCACATGCGTGTGTTGGTGTGACCTTGACCTCCTGGGCTACACAGAGGTCAAGGGCAATAGGTCATACTGTATCCATAACATTTAGTTCCTTGTTATGAATTCTCTTATAATCGCCAACGTTCAAACTTCTTGTGTGATTGATTAAAGGCCCAAAACTACATTCACATATGCTTCTGTTTCCAAATTTTAGGTTAAAATGACAGACAAAATAATTGACTTTTTTATACAGTAAACTATGGTTATAACAAACTCAAGGGGACCACTAATTTTAGTTCATAATAACCCTGCTTCGTTATAAGCATATATACAGTATTTCTCAACAAATGAGTGAGTGAGTGAGTTTGGTTTTACACCGCTTTTAGCAATATTCCAGCAATATCACGGTGGGGGACACCAGAAATGGGCTTCACACATTGTACCCATGTCGGGAATCGAACCCGGGTCTTCGGCATGACGAGCGAACGCTTTAACCACTAGGCTACCCGACCGCCCCTTCTCATCAAATGGCAGGGACTAAAATATAAGTATGTTATTCGGTCAGTTCGTTATAAGCGTGTTCGTTATAAACATAGTTTACTGTATATTCTAAAAAAAAAAAATTACCTGGTTACTGTATCAAAACAAACGTGAATCACATACATTTTCTTTATAAATAATTGAACATAAAAAATGAGTCATTATTTTCATAATCTTCTCAAGAAACAAATGATCAAATATCAATGGTTATCCGCTCCCTATAGACATTCCGACAGTTTCTAGTGGCTACTCGTCGAGGCTACTCCTTAAGGCTGCATACAATACCATCTCAACGTGTTAATTTCTGACTACTATGATCGGTGATGCTGGCCATGGGTGTTCTGTACTCTACTGGGAAGGGTAGGGCCGGCCATGTCAATCAATGCAGCATCAGGTCAAACAATCTCACAAAATGAGCAAAATGTCCCCAGGTTTTAGCTCCATGTAAGTGAGTGAGTATGATATTACTGTACTTTTAGCATTATTCCAGACACAGAACTTACATCCCGTCACCAAAAATACGATTTACAGATTGGACCCATTTGAGAATTCAAACCTGGAACTTCAACATGACAAGCCAACACATTAACTATTAGGCTACCCCAAAGCTCCCTCAATTACTTTGTACAAAATTTCCTTAAAATGCATTCAAATCTGCATTAGTCTGTCAGTCTGTATGATATAAATGTATCTCGATGACAAGTAGAATTTCAGGCTTCTTAGGGTGTCCAACCTGTATTCACAATTTAAATAGAATCTCTGAAATGTTTGATTCACTGTAAAGTGAATCTAAAGTCTAAAGATAGTGCTGCTTTTGCTGCTTTGGTGCACAAAATTTTCAATTTCTGCCAACATTTCGCTCATTTTGATCCATGTGATACATCGTTGTTCGACCTGAGAACCGGGAGGACATAGCGGCGCTTGTTGACACTGGCCACAGGGTGGAGGGGATGGAGGGTCCCTTTAAGGTGATGACACATTGAGGGGAGATGATTCACAGACAATTCTCTTCTCCCAAGGGTTCGTACAATTCAAAATATCTTTTCAAGTTTTCCAAAATTATTGCAGAAATATCTTAATAGATAAAGTCTCGTTCTTATCAACAAATAAATATTCTCCAACAGTTTTTAAATGATTATTTTCAAGCTCAATTTTTGATAATCTGTTGCCATGGAGACAAGGATGTTCAGAAACAAGGGACAGTGGATTTTTCACAAGACAGAAACAGCAACGAATCCAGTTCCTTTCTGGCAATAGCAGATCACTGTTGTGTCCTCGTGTTTGCCACAAAATCCTGCTTCTTTCCGTCTTATTTCTGTGTAGCATTAACAACTGTCATGATTTTGTTGCCATACCAAAATACCTACAGGAATTGACTTAAAGATTCAGTAAATATTCCAGGAATTGCTGCTATTTTCAATGTGATCTGCAGTGTTGGAAATTAAGGGGGCCCATGGTTCTTGTTGGTATTGGAATCCGGGGACACTGACTTTCTATCACTTTTAAGAATAATGTTACATTTTGTTTTGTTTGTTGTTTAACGTCGCACTCTGCAATATTCGATATTGTAAATAATGGAGTCTGGACCAGACAATCCAGTGATTGATATCATGAGCATCAATCCACACAATTGGGATCGATGACATGAATCAACCAAGTCAGCGAGCCTGACCACCCAATCCCGTTAGTCGCCTCTTACAACAAGCACAGTCGCCTTTCACGGCAAGCATGGGTTGCTGAAGACCTATTCTACCCCGGATCTTCACGGGGAGAATAGCGTTATGACAAGCACCCACTGACATGCTTATTTCATACACTGGATCTAGATAGAAATACTGATCAAATATCTCACAAAAGCTATGCATATTGCACTGGCTGGATCTAGTGTCCTTGTGCACAGCGACACAACTTTTAAAATCCTGCATTTTCAAAAATATTGACTGCATTAATCAACCAAACATATGTGCATGAAGCTGATACCCTTTGTTAGGACCAAGTAAGGTGCTGGCGCAGTTTGAGGTGCAGATGTGAACGTTATCAACGCTACACTGATACAACAAAGAAAGCCATGTGGTTTAATGCTGCTTTGAACAGTGTATCAGGGCTTGTCAGTCTATTGTGGAAGGAAGTGTTCCTGGCCTTAGATTTTAACCCTGAGTGAGTGAGTGAGTTGGGTTTAACGCCGCTTTTAACAGTATTCCAGTCATATCACGGCGTGTCAGCTTAATGTGGGAGGAAAGACCGAAGTGATGCAGGTCTCAGACGTTTACCACTTCGGTGAAACCCACGAGCACGGGTATGGTGCTGACAAACCGAGAAACATAATCGGGGCGAACCGGGATTCGAACCCACAATCATAGGTTTCTGGCGTGCCTAAGGGACGCAACTCTGCACAACGAATCGCGGCGCTTTAGACGACTGGGCCACCCGTGCCCCTTTTAACCCTGAGATCAGGTACACTGCTGACCAAGAATGAGGGCGAATCTTGGGATTCTGCACAGCACAATGTAGCCTTAGACCCATCCACAACCCCGCTAGTTTGGGCACATGTACACCAGGCACAATAGTTTCTGAGCATTAAATTATAAAACATTTCCCTGTGAATGAATTACTGAATTTTAAATTTGATTTAGATCCGCCCAAAATTATGAAGAATTATCACAAGAATTCTACACATTTCGAATGACCCTATTTCACCTTGAACAAGGTGTGTTCAAATTACACATTGTCAGATAATGTATGGCAAACATATCACCTTGACTATGAATAATGACCAAAGTCCACTGCTCTAATTTCATGACACTCCTTAAATCCATGTCCTGTGACCAGAGCAAATATTGATGAAGAGTGGACTTTGTGATTGTTTCCATACAAAGTCTGGTACCGGCGCTGGTACCTTCATCAAGCATGTCCACGATGTTCATACAGGCACTGGTACCTTCATCAAGCATGTCTTCGATGTTCATACAGGCACTGGTACCTTCATCAAGCATGTCCACAATGTTCATACAGACACTGGTACCTTCATCAAGCATGTCCTCGATGTTCATACAGACACTGGTACCTTCATCAACCATGTCCACGATGTTCATACAGGCACTGGTACCTTCATCAAGCATGTCCATGATGTTCAGTACAGGCACTAGTACCTTCATCAAGCATGTCCACGATGTTCATACAGACACTGGTACCTTCATCAAGCATGTCCATGATGTTCAGTACAGGCACTGGTACCTTCATCAAGCATGTCCACAATGTTCATACAGACACTGGTACCTTCATCAAGCATGTCCACGATGTTCATATTGACACTGGTACCTTCATCAAGAATGTCCACGAAGTTCATACAGACACTGGTACCTTCATCAAGCATGTCCACAATGTTCATACAGGCACTAGTACCTTCATCAAGCATGTCAACAATGTTCATACAGACACTGGTACCTTCATCAAGCATGTCCACGATGTTCATACAGGCACTAGTACCTTCATCAAGCATGGCCATGATGTTCAGTACAGGCACTGGTACCCTCATCAAGCATGTCCACGATGTTCATACAGGCACTGGTACCTTCATCAAGCATGTCCACGATGTTCATACAGGCACTGGTACCTTCATCAAGCATGTCCACGATGTTAAGTACAGGCACTGGTACCTTCATCAAGCATGTCCACGATGTTCAGTACAGGCACTGGTACCTTCATCAAGCATGTCCACGATGTTCATACAGGCACTGGTACCTTCATCAAGCATGTCCACGATGTTCAGTACAGGCACTAGTACCTTCATCAAGCATGTCCATGATGTTCATACAGGCACTGGTACCTTCATCAAGAATGTCCACGATGTTCATACAGACACTGGTACCTTCATCAAACATGTCCACGATGTTCAGTATAGCTGCTGGTCCTTCACTCATTTTCATCCATGTGATATAAGTAAGTCAGTTGCAGGTACCTTTTTCAGTATGTTTACAATGTTCGGTACTGCTGCTGGTACCTTCATCAAGCACCTGCTGAACATCATAAACCTGCTTGATAAACATACCAGCATCTGTACCTAAACATTGAAGAAACCAACACTGTGTTTATTCATACTAAACCTTGTAAAATGCCACTTAAAACCATTAATTTTTTCAGTGAAATCCTAAGGGCATAAATTTTGAAATTGAAGGAATATTTTTGAAGACCGATATTATTGAAAATCGCTCCATTGGAAGAAGAGAATCATCACAACTTCACACACCAAGACAATGGACATAATCAGTTGAGGTTCAATATGCACAATGGATAGAACAAAACTCGCAAACCAAGCAATCTGGGAACTGGTTGCCATGGATACTTACTGACACTTTGCTATCATCCTGTGGGACACAATATATGTCAAATAAATCAGTAACCATGGTAACACAAATTAAATTGGGAAAGTTAAAAAAAAGGAAAAGGTCAGATTCCTTTCAAAATACATATCAGATACAAAACTTAAATAGATAATTCCTTTGTGGTTGAAATATAGCTTCAAGAATTATCTTGTTCTGTTATGTTATTTTATTTTCACCTTAGGGAAAAGTAAATTCAACTTCAACATACAAATTATATTTATGTTGTTAATGCTGATTTGAACATTTTTTTGAGTCAAGATATCATACAAAAGAGCAGATTGACACAATTGAATAACAGTCAAGGTGAATGAGGGATTTGTTTACATGATCAGCAGATCATGGCATGACTTAGAGTTGGCTGGTTTGTTGTTGAATAATGCTAATCGACTCGCCTCAATGAAATAATTGTTCTTTCCCCCCCCCCCCCCCCCCCCCCTCCCCTTTTTTTTTTTTGTTTAACGCCACACTCAGCAATATTCCAGCTATATGATGGCAGTCTGTAAATAATCGAGTCTGGACCAGACAATTCAGTGATTGATATCATGAGCATTGATCCCCATGACTAAGGGAGGTAACTCTGAACAACAAATTGTGGCACCAGAGAACCCCTCCACTATAAAATTCACTTCAAAGTATGTGTAAATAAAATGTGTAAATTAAACTGCAGAGACTTGTATCTATCAATTTTAACTTACTTCATCTGTTTCTATTGTCTTGAATTATTTTAATATTCCAGAAGTTGCATCAACATATTTTGAAAGGAAGCTTGGTGGGTGAATTTTGTTTTGCAAAACGTATAACGGATCTGTTCTAGAAGCAGAGTGAATCTGTGAAGCCTTCAACAAAGTGAAGCAATACTGTGAGTGTTAAGAAAAAGCTTATACTGACAGATGTATCATGGGGAACTCAAACTGGCACAGCTAGACTAATTACTTGACGAAAGATTCTAGAAGCACTGAAGCTGAAACAACTCACCATCACCCAACCGTCACTCCATGATACAATTCACGATGCACGTCATTCTGTAGAGAACGTTCAAAACTAAGAGGTTCTGGAGTCTGTGAGGTCTTCACCTGTCGTATACTACTCAACCGTTGCTAAGGACCGCACCTTTAACTGAACATGTTGGTCCTTAGCGAATGTTGAGTACTATAGTTGAATCTAGGGACCTCCAAACTTTTAACATTAGGGAACAAAAAGGACACCTCGACATTAATTTTGAACACTGTGTATCAAGTAAGACGAGTTCTATGGATGAACAACTTCTTTATTACATCCATAGAACTCGTCTTACTTCATCACACCAACTTCTAAATGCCACTGAAAGAAGTTACTGTGTATCAATACTTATCTTTTGGCGTATTGTCTTAATTATCCGCACATCGATGATCTACAGAGTAATCTGAATGGATGTTCAAGTTATAATCGTTTGAAGTCCATTATTCAGAGTGGTTCTGGTGTGTAGTTTCAGCCCCAATAAGCAGTTGTATAACAAAGAGGCAAAAGGACTTACCGACACCAAATTGTCATCGTGGAAATATGATGCCAGATCTCGGACACCTGTGATGAATCCCCTGGAACACACCATTCAAAATAATTCTCGCGCTGAGAGTGAGCAGCGGTAGAAACTAACAGGTTTGATCTACTAGTCCTTATAATCATAACATATAGCAAAACACTTAAAAATGGCAAATTTCTACTAGTCCTTCTGATACCTTAACTATTGGGCAGTTTGGCAAGGACTGGTGCCAATTTCTAAAGCTGGTGAGGGATTTATGCTTTTAGCCATCTTCCAGACACAACATAGAGGGTCACCAAGAACAGGATGGACAAGTCCCTATAATGGGAACTGAACTCCAGCCTTCGAGTGACCAGCCAACACTTTAACAACTGGGCCACTTCCATTTAACTTGGTCCAGTGTAGGTGATGTTTACAGTTTACTTTGGTAAGTAAAATGAAGGTGTTTTTGTTTGTTTGATGTTTAACACCGCACTCAGCAATATTCCAGCTATATGACGGCGGTCTGTAAATAATCGAGTCTTGACCAGACAATCCAGTGATTGACATCATGGGCATCGATCTACGCAATTGGGATTGATGACATTCATCAACCAAGTCAATGAGCCTGACCACCAGATCCCGTTAGTCATCTTTGAAGACAAGCATAGTCGCCTTTTACGGCAAGCATGGGTTGCTGAAGACCTATTCTACCCCGGATCTTCACGGGTCAAGGTGTGAAAAACTGACAATGGTAATTATTTTTTAACTTTGTATAATTCAATCTTTGTACATGCACATGCACACTCATCTCAGACAGTGTCCATTACTGCATGATCCTCAGTGTCCTGCCCATCTTCAAGTGCTATGTCTATCAGGTAGCAGTCAACAACTTTAGCCATGAGTCTGAGGCCAGAGTCTAGCAGTGAGTGAGTGAGTGAGTATGGTTCTACACCGCTTTTAGCAATATTCCAGCAATATCACGGCTGGGGACACCAGAAATGGGCTTCACACATTGTACCCATGTCGGGAATCGAACCCAGGTCTTAGGCATGACGCACTTTATCCACTCGGCTACCAGACTGCCCCACAGAGTCTAGTAATGTCAGCAGGTACTCCACCATAAGTGAGACTAAAAACTAGCGACCGTCTCCATGGCCTAGTGGATAAAGCGTCAGCCTGGAAAGCAGCTGGCTGGTGGTTTGATTCTCTCCCTGCAGGGCACATGGCAGCGAGGGGACAAAACAAGGACGAGTGACAAGCTCGGAGTTGGTATAAAACCAGCATTAGTCTGGACTAGCAAAAACTTTCACACAGAGACACACATACACAAAGATACAGTGAGTGAGTGAGTGAGTTTGGTTTATCGCCGCTTTTAACAGTATTCCAGTAATATTGCGGCGTGTCAGCTTAATGTGTGAGGAAAGCCCGAAGTGATGCAGGTCTCAGACGTTTACCACTTCGGTGAAACCCACGAGCACGGGTATGGTGCTGACAAACCTAGAAACATAATTGGGGCGAACCGGGACTCGAACCCACAATCATAGGTTTCTGGCGTGCCCAAGGGATGCAACTCTGCACAGCGAATCGTGGCGCCTTAGACGACTGTGCCACCCGTGCCCCCCATAAAGATACAGACACAAACAGAGATTCACACACAGATACACACACAAACACACACGCATATGCATGTAGGTCGCTATATAAGTGCAATAATCTTGAACGTGATGCAACTTGCCCCATTTCACTTCATCTCACATATAACATCTAAAATAGTAACAAATGTTATAATTCGGATAACACTTTCTTAGTAAAGTACAGATTCTCGTACTTTTTGGGGTTGTGTCCCGTCCGGGATTCGAACCCACACTTCCAGAGTGAGGCACCTAATCGCCAGCACACAATCGTCGGCAATTACCGTATTCGACGTAAAAAGCGCCCAGGGCGCTCTCAAAAATAGAAATAGGGGGCTCTTATTAGAATATTATTTTGGTGAAAAAAAACAGAGTTGAAAGATAAATTTCGTGGTTTATGCTGACAGCCTGAAATGTTTATGTACGACAGATATATTTTTCCAGAATTTAATTGCCCATAATTAAGGTTGCATATAACACACGAGTGCGTATTATACGCAAAAAAATAAGTCTTGTGTACATTGATCAATCGGAAGGGGTGCCAATTGGGATTGTTCACTGGCCAATGTATTAGCAAATATCGCAGTGGGCGCTTATAAGAGCGGGGCGCTTATAAGAGCGGGACGCTTATTACGTCAAATACTGTATGTGCCAAAATGGTACGGGAATCTGTTACAATTGACCACTTTCTAAAATGGCATTGAATGTTCATCTAAAATAATTCCAAGATACTACTTTGGACAAGAAGACTTAAAGGTTTGGGCACAGATTGAGTGAGCTAGATCATGTGCAATATAGACAGTATTTCAGTAGCAACTGCAGGAAAATCCTGCTGTATTGAACATGTCAAACGTGAAACAAAAAAAACAAAAAAATGTGTGTTTATCGATCTGCCCATGACTGTAGTTTACCCGGTTGCATTGTTGAAGTTCTTGCCCGTCTCTATCATAGTTGTGCATAGTTTCACCAGCTGAAAGAGAAGGAAAACTGAGTATACATCAGCATGAACAGGGATCAAGAGAACACAAAACTATTCATCCAACTAATAATCTATACCGATACAGTTGTTTATTTGCCTCTTTCAATAAAGGTAGACATTTGTTCACTATCAATTTATGAACTTTGCAAAACGTACGTAATAGCTATTGGCGATTTCATCTGTAGATTATATATTATAGCTGTGAATTACATATATTGTTACATGTAAAGATTGTGGAGTTCATGAAGAACGATAAACTTTGAACATTCAATTGAAAACTTATTATCGGAAGTAGTAACATGCATAACATTTTTTTAATAATGACAACATTGGTGTATAATAATAACTTTATTGATAATTTATAACATAACAATAATGGCTCTAGTCTTGGCAACTTCAAAACTTTCGGGAAGTTATAATCTATCGGACCGTCATTCAGGCGATGTTTCTGACAGATCACGATCTGAAAAATACTATCATGAAAGTGTATCCCGTGGATAAGCCGACCCCTTTCTACAGAATCTTTTTTCTGGTCCTCAAAATTCGGCTTATACGCGGTCATATACGGTAACTAACAGCCAGGACAAGGTTTAATCTCCTCCAGCGACACACCTTAAAAGTTAATTCAGCATTTAGCATTAGCTTTGACGCATAAGGAAATGATATACATATTTAGAAATTGTCAGCTGGGTGTGTTTCGCACAGAAAATATGTTCTTCTTTTTGTGGGGCATTTCCTCATTCATCTCAGTTTAGTGCAAACAGTATATACATCAATGATATACAATGTAATTCAATTTCCAAAACATGTTGTTTAGAATGTTGTGGTATGAGGTGGTTAATATGTTTGTTTGTTTTCTTTGTTTGTTGTTTGACACTGCACTCAGCAATATTCCAGCTATATGACGGCGGTCTGTAAATAATCAAGTCTGGACAAGACAATCCAGTGATTTATATCATGAGCATCGATCCACGCAGTTGGGATACGATGACATGCATCAACCAAGTCAGCGAGCCTCACCACCCGATCCCGTTAGACGCCTCTTACAACTGTTAATATGTTATACATAGTATCTGTCACATATTGGCCATTTTCTCTTGCACATTGTAAATATTTAAAAATATTACATCAATAAAATTTACATTATGCTCGCCTGTATCATAGCTATCTAATAGGGCTGGGACGAGTCCAAATTTACAACCACGGGTACCCATCCCCCTATTACCCGACCCTACCCGGGTACCCACTGTAGGTCTCAGGAGATGTCTCAAAATGTCCGATTGGGAACATTTTTAGCATAGCCCTGGCAAAACCAATTTAGATACATGTATTTAACAATTTGGTCATTCATACACTGATATGTACAAGTTATATCTTTATTCAACCATATGAAAAATCAGAAGCAATGCACACACATTAGTGACTTGTAGTGTAGAGTTCTAGATAATTTTTGTCATTAAACAATATGTCACGTGACTAACCACGGGTCCGGGTAGTCCTGTGGGTACCCGAGTCCTACTCAGTACCCACCTGACCCGGGTACCCGAGTTACCCGTCCCAGCCCTACTATCTAACATTAAGAATGAAAATTGTATTATTCAAGCCTACTTTAAATTCCTTAATTTTTTATTAAATTTTACATTGAATAAAACACACAAGGGTAACATTCTCTTTACCATATTATGTCATTCTAAACATTGTCGAAGTTTATGACATATTTTCATTCACTATAGAAACTTTAGAAATAGCTTAGCAATGCCTGAGTGAACTGCCCCATTTCTTACATAGCGCCAAACCCCTTGCATACCCGTCTGTTGACATGACAACATACTCATCAGGGAAACCTAGGTTAATTTTGGCATAAAGGTTTGCAAGGCGGCATCGTATCTGTGTATCAAGTTTACTAAAAGTAGTTCCTATAAGATGACCTCATTTGCATACTTATTCAGTTATTGGATTGCGATATCAAGCTTATCATATTGGTTTGTCGCATCGATAAAACCATCCATTAAATGATAAATATTTCGTACACCATAAGATTGCTAAGTTTTGTGGCGGATTTTTAAAATATGGATCTTCTCATAATCTCTCGTGATTTCATTAAACTTCACGCAGATCATCACAATACACTAATAATTCAAATTATTATCACAGCCCTAGTGGTGATATCCCAATACCACAAGGAAATGATGCATAAAGATTACTGACCGTAAATTGCATAATATTAGGAATACAAACTCATATATTCAACCAATTGGCATAATACATATTTTTAATTTTTAACATACGATGTTTATGAGACAGAAACATATGATGGCAATAACGTCTTTGTTAAACTTAAATAAGTCCTTCTAAGAAAGAACATCGATGTTTCAGACATGTTTGTTGCAGTCAATGTGTAATATGTGATTCCACTCGGCAATTTACAAAATGCTAAAATAGTTCAGTCATTTTAAAATTGCCTGAAACACTGTCCATTCATTTAACTGACTGACGAAAAATTATTTACAAGTTCAAAAGGGTTCAAAAACATCACAATAGACTACTTATCATGCTTATCTTTAAGCATCAGTTCGTGGGCACGGGTGGCACAGTCGTCCCTAGAGTTGCGTCCCTAGGGCACGCCAGAAACCTATGATTGTGGGTTCGAATCTCGGTTCGCTCCGATTATGTTTCTAGGTTTGTCAGCACCATACCTGTGCTCGTGGGTTTCACCGAAGTGGTAAACGTCTAAGACCTGCATCAATTCGGGCTTTCCTCCCACATTAAGCTGACACGCCGTGATATAACAGGAATACTGTCAAACATTTGTCAAAAGCGGCGTTAAACCCAACTCACTCAGTTAAGCATGTTAAGGGTTTTAAAAAAATATCGGTGAGTTTCGGTTTCTTTAATCCTATAATTTTCAGTCACTGGGTGATGAAATTCAACATAAAAGCGTTTGGAATTTGTTATCATAATAAAATAGATGGAAAGATTTTCAGATAACAAGTATAATAACAATTATCGTAATATTTAGGTGTTTGGTAAATTGCTTCAGTAAATATTTCAGTCATTTCACAACCTATTCACACAAACTGAACTGTCCCATATAACAGATAGTGTCAAATTATTTGCAGCCATGGTTGTGAATAGAAAAATCAACAAATTTATTGATTATGCAGACATTATATCGATGTATAGCGCTTAGACATGTTAGAAGTAGTTCCTGATCCGTGACCTCATCTGCATGTTTATCAGGTTAGGATCCCAAGTTTTTCGGACTGGTTTATCATGTTTATTGCAATGATAACACTACTCCCAATATGATAATGGTTCTGTCCTGATATGAACTTGTCTCAGACTTATAAAGTGTACTTGAGTTTATTTGGAACCATGTAGTGTAGAACACTGAAAACCAACTGTTAAGTGTTGTGTGTAGGGTTACTGCCTCTTTTAGCATTACAACAACCACATAACTTTCGCATCACCAGGGATGGTCATCACAGATTGTACCCATGGGGGGAATTAAACTGGTGTCGTGGCAAGATGAGCTGACGCATGAACCACTTGGACACACAGACAGCGGTAGAAACTAACACTGTTCCTTATAATGATAACATATAGCAAAACCCTAAAAATGGCAAATTTCTACTGGTCCTTATGATACCTTACTATTGGGCAGTTTGGCAAGGACTTATAACAGGACTAGTGCCAATTTCTACTCTGACAGGTGGTCTTTTACTAAGCGGCTTTTGTGCCAGAGCATTACGCTACTTAGCATAGCCCTGTGCATGCGTGTGTGCGTGCGTGCGTGTGAGTGTTTATGTGCTTGCATGAGCATGTGCATGCATATGTGTGCAGGGTTCACTCTAGGATTTCTTCTGACATGGGCCCTTTATATGAAAATTTCAAATATTCCAGAGGTCCGCCCATACAACACAAAGTTAAAAAGCCCCATTGTATTTAGAAATGTGGGCCTTGTTTCAAATTGACGGTTTAAAGCACAAGGCCCCATCCAAGAATTAACCCTGCGCGTGTGTGTGCGACTGTTGTGAGGAGGCAGCAAGGAGAGTGCATCCATTGTACCCATGTAGAGACTCAAACCCAGGCCTTGATCATGACAAGCTGCACTTTAACCACAAGACTCCCCCACTGCCCATACAGTGCAGAGCTCTCACGGAGGTGAGTCAGGATAAGCCCATAACAGAGCAGGCTGTGAGCTGGAGTGTGCAGGAACCTGTGTAACAACAGTCCGGGGGCAGCGAGTGCGATGCTGTGTACTACCTACAGCGGCACAATGGGTCGGCCTCCAACAAGACTCCCCCACTGCCCATACAGTGCAGAGCTCTCATGGAGATGAGTCAGGATAAGTCACAGAGCAGGCTGCAGGCTGGAGTGTGCAGGAGCCTGTGTAACAACAGTCCGGGGGCAGTGAGTGCTGTGTACTACCTACAGTGGCACAATGGGTCGGCCTGCAACAAGACTCCCCCACCGCCCATACAGTGCAGAGCTCTCATGGAGGTGAGTCAGGATAAGTCACAGAGCAGGCTGCAGGCTGGAGTGTGCAGGAGCCTGTGTAACAACAGTCCGGGGGCAGCGAGTGCTGTGTACTACCTACAGCGGCACAATGGGTCGGCCTGCAACATCAGTGACAGAAAATCAATCAGTGAAGTCCATGCACTGTGGAGCTGTCTTGTAACCTGCAGGGTTATGAAGGGTGGAGCCCTAAGCAGCGTCAAAGCTCGGGGCGTGAGCCTGAGTGGAGCTTCCTCAGGTGCAGATCGTGGTGGTAGTACCAAATATTCAAAGAGGAAGCTTGTCCAGTGCTTCTGAGTGGGACCTAGCTTGCACATGAAGCTCTAGATTCCATCCTTATGACTGGGCGACCAGATCATAGCCAGTCAGTGAGTGAGGAGGTCTGTTGTCAGGGAGGAGATAGAGGGAGGTGTCCAGTGCTTCTGAGTGACAGTGGGACCTAGCCAGGCCTGCACATGAAGCTCTAGATCCCA